GAAAGAGTGCTGTGTTGGAACTTTGAAGTGGTTTAAAAGAAATAAAGAAAAAAAAAATAGGAAGTAAATGTGAGGAGTAATTATAAAAACGAGAATATCGAGAAAAGAAATCGAAAATGGTGAGAGAGAGTGGGAATTAAAGAGAAGCGTTGCCGCGTGGGGGGAACGGTTACGCAGCAGAGTTGGCTTTTTCTGCCATTGCGGATGGCGTAAGTACGATGCAAAGTCCGAAGGAAGAAAAGGAAAAACTTATATATAATTATAATTAATTATTTATAATAAAATAATAATAATAATAATAATAATAATAATATTTCCTTATTTTTATTTTATTTATTTGGTTTATTATCTCTCTTGCTTGGTTGATGTTTTGATGATTACTCGGGTAGCTTCTCTGTTTCTTTTCTCTTGTGGTGTTATTCGTAGCCTGACACTGCTCTGCTACTCACTTTTCTATGACCAGCTTCCAAGCGTTGACATGCACTTGTGCTTCTGACTCCTCTGCTCTTCAATGCCTCAAAGCTGAAACGTATCTTCCCTCTACATCAAAGAATCAAATGGACCATACACACATTTCAAATATTTTTAATACTCACTTTATATTTTAAATATCAAAAAATTAATACGGATTATAAACTTGTCAACCAATGGTATGACTTTATCGTAAAAAAATTTAATTAACTTTATTTAATAATTATTTTTAAAATATAAGATTAATCTTTTGATATGATAAATTTGCTGTGCATTTAGTACACGTTAAATAGGAGAGAAATACAAAAATAAAAAATAAATAATGTTTAAAGTTTGACCAAGTACAAAGAAGTGTTGATTACTTTTAATTTTTTTGAGTTTTTTCTATCACGCAAAAATGAGTACAAATATGATGAAAAGTACAACATTATTAATTTTAATAATGTTACTATTTTAATTGAAGTGTGTTTAGGATAACAGTGAAAATTATACAATTTTATAATTGTATATAGTAAATATCTATTCTAAATTATTATAATTGTAATAAAATTTTGTTTGAGTAAATTTATAGAAAAGTATTTTTAAGATATTTAATTTTTTTTAATACAATAAAAAAATCTAATTATACATGATAAATCAATTTAAGAAGTGTTCCTAGCGTAAGTCTACGGTCATCGTTAAGGTCACTGTATCCGAGGTATTGTCTGTTTTGGCCTCGTTGGACTGTCATGGTTTTATCCTTTAAAAGGCGCCTCGGTGGGTTAAGGAGGAAGGAAGCCCTCCTTCTAGCGCCAAATGTTCTTACCGTAAGTCTACGGTCATCGTATCCGAGGTATTGTCCGCTTTGGCCTCGTTGGACCATCACGATTTTATCCTTTAAAAGGCGTCTCGGTGGGTTAAGGAGGAAGGGTGTTTATAAACTACCCTTAGCCTCGACTCCTAAGCGATGTGGGACTTTTAGGCATACTTGAACAAGAATAAAACTTTGTTGAAAAATAATTATAATACTTAAATTTTTATATTTTAGATTTATGAAAATAACTTTTTTTAATTTCTAATATTGTCCAAAAAGATACAACTTACTCTTTGAATATAACCAATGTGAAACCCGAAATCTTGTACTCTTATTTTTCCCTCTTCACTCTCATTCTTCTAAAGCTTCTTCACTGTTGATTTCCTTCTCAAGGTTGAAGTGTTGTTGAGCTTAGGTTGTGAAGGAAGATATTTTTTCATCCATTTTTCTTCTTCTTCTTCTCTTCTCCATGAGCTTGGAATCGAAATTCTTCTCCCTCCAAGCAAAGGAAAGTTAGAAAGCTTGAGTTTTTGATTTGCATGTTAGGTTGTTTGAATGAATTGAGACTTCAAATTGGTAGGATTCTGAAAATTTGCAACTAGGGGATGAATTCAAAGTGATTTGCATGTTGAAAACTGAGGTTCTGATTTCTTGATGGAAGGTTGAATGTTGATGATTTTCTTTGAGCTTTGGTGCATGCATGTTGAATTTCTTGTGTTTTATGAGTAGTATGAACAAATTGGGTAGAGATTTTGAGTGTAGATCATGTTTATGGGGAAATGGGTGAAGTGTAGGTGAAAAACGAAGGTGGGAAGCCATGAAAGTGCAAAAAAATTTGCACTTAGTGCTGGAGTGCTGAAGGAGCGTTGAAACTATGAGAGATAACAAGGTGGCCAAAATCTGGGGCTACAGCTCTAGGTTAAGCACTGCAGCCCTGAGAGAAATTGATCTGGCAGAGATCCCGCACTACAACTCCAAGTTGGGCGCTGCAACTCTAGGAGAAAATGAAGTTGGCAGAAAGCTAGAGCTAGAACGCTGAATTGAACGTTGTAACACCAAGGGTAGATGACCGAATTTGGTCTTGGGGTCTTCATGAAAGTTGTAGCCTTGGATGTTATCTTTCCAATGGCACTAGAATCACATAAAAAGAAGGTATAAAGCTTCAATTATAACATTTTTAGTGAGAAAATATCAAGTCAACATTTAGAAAAATGGTTGTAGTTTTTACAATTTTTAACATGGTAGATGAGGAAAATAGAACCTGAATTCTTCATAAAAGTTGTAGAAAATTTTATTGTCTTTCATATGTGGTAAGTATGAGAGTGATTGGAGTAGTAGAACTCCCTATGGGTTGTTTTATATGAAGGTTATCAATGTAGGAATAAGTGATTTTGATAAATTGCATGTGATGAGCATTGGTATGCTTTATATGATTGATATGCTATGTTAAATTAATTGTGGGGCATTGATATGCTATTATTATATGAATTGTTAAGCATTGGTATGCTCTTTTTGGTTGAGATGTTAAGCATTGGTATGTTGTACATGATTGATGTTATTGATCTCTATATGCATTGACTGAATGTGATGTATATAGTAGATGTATGGTAAGGTGTGGATGCTAAGAATGCGGTGTGGCATTATAGCATGATAGGTAACTTGGGATTTGAGGAGGAAAAATAATTTTGAAAATTGAAGATCCCACATAGGGTATCTTGGAGTGGTGTTCGAGTAGGCTATTGTTTGGAAAACCTTCCTTAAGTAAGTGTGTCTCTTGGAGTAGGTTTTGAGGTGTGTTGAGTCTCCTTCAAATCCTTAATTAGTGGTTGAGTAAGGTAGGAGGTTGAGGGCTACAACCCTTAACCAAGTATTTGGAAAGGTTGCATAGTTCCTTAAGGATAATTAGTGGGTGAATTCCATATGTGACTTGATAATGTATGTCAAGGTCATGACAAGCCTATAACTAGTTTTACTACTCCTAACGGTAGAACCGGACTTTCCTAGTGTAAGTGATGAGACCCGAAAAACCAAAGGAAGGATTGGTATCCTATTTTGTTGTGATCGAGCTAGTGCTTCGGGCGTGAAAATGATTGGGTTGGTTTGGTAGGGTGGAAATCACTTAGACTGTTCATGTTGTTAGGAGATTTCTGTAGGTGAATGCATGACGATGCATTGGTCAATGTGTTTACATATGATGTATGTTGAGACGTGTTCATGTGCATTTGATGTCTTTTGAGACATGATTGGGTGAGGTACATGCTTGTTTGGAGTGTGATTAGTTTTCATATATGATATTTGGTGTGTTGTTGTATATTATAGACCTGTTTTTATATGTATAGGTTTTTGAACTCTAACTTACCCTTTCTGTTCCCATGGTGGTTTGGACTGCGATGATCATACATTGTATGAGAGCAGATTAAGGTAAGGCTTGAGGAGCTAATGCGGGTAAGTGTTGTGACTTTTCAATAGCGGTACTACTGATGTATCTTGTACAGGTGTGCTTGAACGACACTAGGATGTAGGATTATTTTGGGAGAACTATATACATACATACATAAATACACACACACATAAAAATTATTATTATCATGTTTAAAGTCTTTATTATTAGCTTAAATGTATTTAAGTGGACAATTAATTAAAAATTACCCTAAAATAGTTTTTACAACAATTATAAGCAATAAAACAAATTAATATACACGATAACTTATTATTGAATGATGATATATAAAAATAATATTATTAATGTATTTAAATAAAATCAATTATTATATATAAAATACAAAAAGTTATCTTGCACGAAAATTTACTTAGAGACTTTAATTAGTGAGAAGAATTTTCGAGGTTCTTTTAATTTCATAACTAATTAAATTTTTATTTATTATAATTATTTAAGAATTTAATTTTGAAATTTTAAAATAATTTATCAATAAAAATAATAATTATGTGTTATAATATAAATTATTTATAATTAATTTAAAATATAATTTATATATTTATAAATATCTATTTATTGAAATTTATATATGATTTATACATTCAAATATAGTATTTATTTATATACATAATTTATTTTAATTTTTTATTTTTTATAATTTTAATTTTTAATTATATATAATAAATATTTAATACATGTATTACCCAAATTAAAATATTAATTTATTAAATTTTTACTAAGAAATAATAATGTGCATATAACTTAATATTTGTTTTTTAACCTTTAAAATTGGTGCAAATTACATTATCAAAGTACCCATAACCCATTATCATTAAGATTTTTGTGTGTGCAAAATATAGTTATTCTTTTTATGAAGATGAATTTATATCAATTCAGTGAGAATATTATAGGGGGTAAAAAATATGGGTATTTAATACAATTTTTTTTAATAACACATTGTTATGTAACACTTATATTTTGATGTATTTATTTTTTTATAGGAATTGTGTTGTGTGTTAGGTTGGATCAATTAAAGGTAAGTATAAAATGATTCCTCATTCATAACTCAAATTTTTAAAATATGAATTGTGTAAATAGAAAATTAATTAACTAAGGGGTGCATATTTAATAATATTTTATTAGTACAAAATAGTTATTAATGTTGTGAGAATTAATTTTCATAAAAAAATTTAACTTATTATCTTTAATAAGATTTTTTTTTACAATTTTTTCTATTACAAAATTTAATCTTAAAACTAAAGATAATAATTTTGGACACAAATTTTAGCAAGCATTGTTCATGATGATGTTGCACTCCAAACTCAAAATATATTATACGAAAGAAAAATGCTTAATATTTTGAATGAATTGATCAAAACCTGTTTGGAATTATTAAAAAATTCATTTAAATAATAAAATATTAAATTAAATAATTATTTTATAATAATTATTAAAAAATATTAATATTTTAATTATTTAGAAACTCGTTCAAAATATTAATCCTCTATACGAAAAATAGTTTTTAGAATATCCAGAATATATCCTCCGACTCAAGTGTTTGGTAACCTTATCCGTTTAACAATGTCTCAGCCGTTGTCCACCTGTCACCTGTACTGCACTGGGTGCTCTATCACTGCCAACCTGGCAAATGCAACATCAATCTTCCATTCTTTAGTTTTTATCAATTAATTATCAAATAATTAATTAATTACCAGAATAATATTGGCACATCTGCAGTTTTATTCCCTGAAAATAGGCGTATAGAATTTTGTTTTCATGTATTTAATTTTGTTGAATAATAAATGAAATACATTAAAGAAGTGTAAGTTCAAATGTATTATGAAAATATGAACTATACAATGAATTATTTCTATTATATATAAAGGAAATATTTTAAGTATACAATGAATTTTTTTTGTTATAAAAAATAAACATCGTAAATTTGAGACATACAATCGTGTATGTAATCAAAATTAAAAGTTAGTTAGAAATTACATGATTACTTAAAAAATGTATATCTTTCAATTTCAGTTATTTAAATATGATCTTATTATTTATGCTTATGGTTCATATTTTTTCACGATAAAAGATACTCTCTTTATACTTCACCCAGACTGACATACAAGTAAAATAAAAATTCACGTGTAATAAACTAAAATATAGGTAAATTTAAACTATTGTTTTCAAAATAGCTTTCATTTAATTGAAATTTTACTTTTAACAATTTTTTTATTCTTTATATAAACTTTCAATGAAAAAAATTAGAATTTTTTTTAATGATATTAATTAAATTAATTAAAGTTTTTTTATTAGCATGAATCAATTTTTTCCTTATAGATTAATCCCGAAGGAGTGTATATAATAAACACTAACAAAACTGCAAAAGATAAATATGATTTTTTTTTAAACTCAAAAGTAACTAACGCGATTAAAAAAAATAATGTAACGTCATTCCCTAAAAAGAATATGGCCGGTGATAAACACACCTCCATTGTTATATAAATACACCTCTTTTTTTTTTAAATATATGAAATCCTTAAATTACCCTTATTTATACCTCTCTTTTTCTTTTTTCCTCTGTGCACCTCTCTTCTTCTTCCTCCTCTGCACGCACACCTCTCTTCTTCTTTCTTCTCTGCACACCTCTCTTTTTTTTCCTCCCTGCACCTCTCTTCTTTTTTTACACCTCTCTTCTCAAAAATTTTATTATTCCAAAAAATTCTTTTCATAATAAAAACTTGATTATTCCAGAAAGTACTTTCTGCAACAAATTTTTCCTATTATTCCCCTTTTCTGTAACAAGAATATAAGCAAGTTAGACACATTGCTTTCAACCCAGTGTTGAGATAACAACTTCATTATCTTTCCTTATTGTTCAAATGACTATGTGGGTCTGCTTTTTCTCAATACCCTCGGCTGTAACATTTGACTTTTTTGGCGCAATGTGGGCCGTTTGTGAGATTTCCCCTCCAAATCATAAGATTCTCTGCAAATTTTTTTTCTTCTGTATTTTTAATTTATTTTATTGGATGTTGGTTTTATGCTTGATTGGCGGTGGTCGAAGTAGTGTTGGAAGCTTCGTTTATTCAATAATGTAATTGTTTTTCATTCATGGGGTATTCTTGAAATATACCAAAAATTAAATGCCAACTTGTTGTTATGTATGACCTCAAGCAATTTCCGTCTACTTATGTTTTTAATTCAGAATAATGGATCCTGGGTCTACTGCTCCAGGTTTACAGATTGGCACAAGTTTGAAAAAAAGAAGAAGAGAGGTGTGCGGAGGAGAAAGAAGAAGAGAGGTGTGGGTGCGGAGAATGAAGAAGAAGAGAGGTGCAAATAAGGATAATTTAAGGATTTCATATATTTAAAAAAAAAAAAAAAAAAGGGGTGTATTTACATAAAAATGGAGGTGTGTTTATCACCAACCAAAGAATATATTAGCATAGACAATTGAAAAAGCCCAAACATAGACAATTGAAAAAGCCCAGCACAAAATCTGAACAGAAAGTTAAGCTCAAACCATTAAGCATGGATACTATGTATTGATTAATCATTTTGATTGCTTTAATGAAGTACAGCATCGAAGGGCATTTGGTCTAGTGGTATGATTCTCGCTTTGGGTGCGAGAGGTCCCGAGTTCGATTCTCGGAATGCCCCAAATTGTTTTCTTATTGTCATATAGCTTTTACGCATCAACCTTCAACACGATAATAATTCTTTTTGTCTTCCACGCTAACGCATTACATTTCAAAACCCAAAGAATCTTTATCACTCTAAACATCAAAATACCTTCTTCGTCAAGCACAACACAATCTCTATCAGCGAAAAATCTAAATCTAATCCAGACCCATTTCACCATGATTTAAGTGGTCAAATACATCATAGGTTTACACTAAATAGGTCCCAGTATATATCATTTTATTTTTGTGTACAAATCAAAGTAGTGAGAAACAAATAGTTCACTGTATATAACATAAATACAGAGTGATCTTTCTCTTCATTTCAGACCTCGAGACATTCCAAGGAAAAGCCAGTTCCTTCATCAGTTAAAAGTAGTAATGACTTTGACCACCGAGTGCAGGAGGTGATTCCAAATAGATTTTTTATTCAAATATAAAAAGAAACACTTGAAAATGGCTTCACACCTTTAATGAATTCAACAAGGATTGGGCGAGAGCCAAATTGGGAGCGGCCACCCTAGCTGAGAAAACGAACCCGGTGGAAAACACGGCAAGGGTTCAATACTCTTATCGCATAACCTAAAAATCCCCAAATCATGCTTCCCACACGCATCATCGTCATTCAACTCCGAATAATCGTCGGTGAAATAGATGCAATCCGCAGAACAACCCTCGAAATCAGACGCACAAAACGACAGCGAAGAATTCCCCCCTACAAACAAAACGCGGTCACCCAAAGTGTCGAGCCTCTGCCACGTCAGCAACCCCCAATTCATCTTAAAAACCTCAAACGACACCGTCCGGTACACCAAGTTGGACTCCACCCCGGCAGCGTCAGAAAACTCCTGATCGAGAAGGCGAGTCACGAGCAAGAAATCTCCGGCGGAAAACACCGCGTAGTTAATGTCACCGACGAAGCCAAACGGCGCCGTTGGCTGAATAAGCGAAACCCTGGGCGGGGAGCGAGAACAAGCGGGATCGCACACCGCAATGGTCCCTCCCTTACTCACCGCGAAAAACACGCCGTTGTAGTCGACAACGTCCTCCCAGCAGTAGAGTTCCCCGTCCTCGTCGTTCACGAAGATCCACGCGTCGGAGCCGTTTCTGCAGAAGGCCAGGTTGTTCTGGGCGACGATGGCGAGCGCGGCGAAGTGGGGGCCTCGCGAGGGGCTCTGGGAGAGGACGAGCTTGGTGAGGAAGGAGGTGCACACGTGTCGCGAGCTGAGCGTGTGGACGGCGCCGTGGGGGTTGGCGACTAGGTACTCGCGGCCCACGAGGGAGTGGTTGAAGGTGAGGACGTTGGGGAAGGTGTGGAGCGGGGGGAGGGAGCGCGTGGCGCGCGTGAGGGGGTTGAGGAGGCGGAGGTTGGGGGTGTGGTCGAGGAGGGCGAGCCAGCCGTGGGAGGAGGCGCAGATTCTGGTGTGAGGGGGTTGAGGGTGGTTGCGGAGGAGGTGGGTTTTGTGGAGGGAGAGGTCGAAGAAGGCGCGGTGGGAGAGCATGAGCCATGGGAGCTGGGGAGGGAGGTGGACGGGGGTTTTCCGAACGGAGGATCGCCAGCTCCGGCAGACGGAACGGAATCGGAGGTAATCGGAGTAGATGGTTAGGAGTTTCGAGATTGATTCCACCAGCTCTTTGGGAAGTTCAGCCCAATCTGCACCCATCTTTCTTTGCCTCTTGCTTCTTTCTTTTTTTTCAAATATCTTCTTCCTATTATGCATTGGCTTGCGTCTCTTTCATTCTCCTAATCACAAAATAAATCAACACGTTGTTTAGTTGTAAGTAGGGATGAAAAAAAAAATCCATACATTCAATGATTAACATATTTCGCTGTTTTTTCTAGTTGGATTAATAAGATGTGATCATCTGTTTACTTTTGTCACCTTATATATATATATATATATAT